GAGAGAGAGAGAGAGAGAGAGAGAGAGAGAGAGAGAGGACCTATCTATGTCATGGGTTTTCAGATTATATACAATATAAGGAGAAATATGGAGTTAGAGAGGGGCTATGAGACTATTATGAGAGATATGGAGGTAGAGGGAGTGATGAGAGAAAGAGGGTGGAGTTCACATGGGAGAAGTAGATAGGAAATGGAGAGAGAGCGAGAGAAACGAATTGTGGAAGTGAACCAGTGAGTGCGGGTGATGCTTTACAATCTAGAGAGATTGAGAGCATAAATGGAAATGAGAAGAGAGAAGGACTCGCTCTTGGAAGAGAAGTGGTTGATCGGTGGGCTTGCTCTCTTGCTAGTGTTGCCTGTCGAGAAAGGAGAGAGTAGATTGGGTTGTAAGACACCTAGACCTCTAATACCATGAAAGAGGGTAGATTTGAACAAACTATGCACATTTACTCAACTCTTTATGAGCAGCAGGTTCTAGATATAACTGTTTGGTACATCTATGTTTTGGGTAAAGAAATAATAATCGTTGATTGATTCAATCTACGATTGTTTACAACTACCCTATACAAAAATAGATAGATTACAAAGTATAAAAAAAAAAAAGGGATTACAATCATGCAAGATTGCAGCAAAATAAGTCAAAGATATAATTACAAGAATATCCATGGATATCATCTTTCAACACTAACTACATTTTTAATAATAGACATTTATTTATAAAATATTTCTTTTATATTTATTTTATTGCAAGGACATGGATGGGACATGGGAGTAGTGAGAAATAGTATGGTAACTTATGGTCTGACTGAGGGTATGGCCCTTGATAGAGCAGACTCGCGGACTGAGGGTATGGCCCTTGATAGCCGACTCTAAATAGTTGTGATGACAATGATGATGATGGTGATGGTGGTGACAGTGATGATGATGATGGTGGTGATTTATCTTATTGCAAGGAAATGTTTGCCTTGTCAACGATCATTGGAATGCTGTGTTGCACCACCCTACCATGTGCTAGAAATGACATGTTTCTTGACAGCCGTTAATTAGTTTTCATTGTCTAATTTTTGTTTTTGAGGTGATGATCTCATGGGATTTTCCTGCACTATTATTCATATGCAATTTCATATATTAATTGATCGACTATTTAGTTTATTGGGAAATTAGCATCACTTAGTTGAACCTTAATGCTGGAACCATGCATTTTTTGTTCTTTGAGTAAATGCTTGATGTTACAACTCAAAAACGACATCAATGTTATAGAGAGGTTATGTTGGTAACTTTTTGTTTTCTCATGTTGAATTAAGGTTGATAATGATCTTGCTTATTGCTACGTTTTTTTTATTGCTAAGATCGTGTACTGATGTTCATTTCTTACATTTTGTAAGAAAGAAAGTTAATAATTTAGTTAGATGTGACATCTAATACTGCTTTTCCTTGTCTCCAGTGGGAAGACAATTGAGCTTGATGATGTTACTTTCCACCAATGTGTGAATTTGACAAGGTTCAACTCTGAAAAGACTGTTAGTTTTGTTCCACCTGATGGGGAATTTGAATTAATGAAGTAAGTTTACTACTTTGTGTTCTCTTTTCACATTTTATGTTACGTTAATTAACTGTAGATTATTCACTCTTGCTGAATGCATGTCGTACATTGGAACCAATACATGGATTATTCACTCATGCATGAACAGTTTTAAGCATGGACGTGTTAATTGTCGAATGTTTTTCCCTTTTGGAAGCTTTTAGCAGAGAGGTTTTGTTTGTTTTCCTGTTTGCAAATGATTGATGTGTAAATCTGGACTACATAATAGTTAGGTTGTGAGCACTGAGCTATTGCTCCTCCATGGATCAAATGGTGGCCTGCTAGAAAGTACACAGATAAGGGACGATAGAGGCTGGCTAATATGGAAAGGCTCTGATTTTGAGTAGATGTGATCACCACCAGTTTAGCGAAGGGAAGGCCAACCTATGGCTCTTACACTTAAAAACTCTTATGGATGATACCTATTGTTGGGAGCTTGTCAGTGGGGTAATGAGGTTCATGGTGCCTAGTGAAGTTCAATAAAAGAATAGAACAGTTAAAATGCTATTTGGTGTGTAATGAAGAGATTTTAATCAATGAAGGGTTTTTGAGGGTTTATTAATAGTGTTTCAAGTGGTTGATTATGAGGATAGCAAGAGAGAACTCATTGCAATAATATTGACCAAAATCATTGCCACATTATGAAGCTCTTTAACCATTTGGTTGGCCATGCTTTATGATGAAATGCCTGTTGCTATTTTTTCTGAATCTTTATTTTGCTGCTGTCTAAATTGTTGAAAGAAATTTATACTTTTTTTATTGTTCTTTTTTATTCTTAACAGATATCGTATTACTGAAGGAGTAAATCTTCCATTCCGGGTCTTGCCAACAATCAAAGAACTAGGACGGACACGCATGGAAGTTAATGTGAAGGTCTGTGAATCTCTTCCTTAACAGTTTCACTATGATCTAAATATAATGGTGCAAATGGGTTGGTGCTGGTTGGGGGGACTAGTCGGTTCGAGCCTGACCCAGGTATGTCCTGCATGGAGCTGAACCTGGAGCCTATAAGCCAGCCCGATTTTGCAGCCCTAGACTTGATCTTGTTTGAACATTACCCTTAAGTAGATGCTTTTTTCCTTCAGGTGAAGAGTGTCTTTGGTGCGAAAATGTTTGCTCTTGGGGTGGTGGTAAAAGTTCCTGTACCGAAACAAACGGCTAAGACAAGTTTCCAAGTCACATCAGGTCGAGCCAAGTACAATGCCTCTATAGATTGCTTGGTTTGGAAGTGAGTATTCAGTTCATGCATCTGGTGTATTTTGCATGGATCTTTATTTAAGTTTGAATCTCTATTTTAATGTGATCCTTCTAAAACTTCATGCAAAGTTGATTTTACGAATGTTATTTTGCATATGGTGTTGTGTTTATTGTACATGTTGTTTACATTTCTCTTATTGTACTCCATCATAGAAATTGATGTGTAACCCTATTTGCTCAGGGTTTAACGTGTTTCACTATTTTTTAGGATAAGAAAGTTTCCTGGTCAAACCGAGTCAACCATGAGTGCAGAAGTGGAGCTGATATCAACAATGACAGAGAAAAAGTCCTGGACTAGGCCTCCTATTCAGATGGAGTTTCAGGTTCATCTCTCTCTCTCTCTCTCAAGAAATGAAACCCATTTCTTTTTGTTTGGGGGGATTTCAAGTGTAACTGGCCTTATGCAGGTTCCAATGTTTACAGCATCAGGTCTGCGAGTACGGTTTCTCAAGGTAAGTGCAAATACTAATGAAACATTTTGTAATTTTCTTTTAAGAATTGGACATGGCTTTTCCAGTGCACTGGCTCTTATTTTACTAAATTTTGTAATCTGCAGGTTTGGGAAAAGAGTGGATATAATACTGTAGAATGGGTTCGTTATATCACAAAAGCTGGGTCATATGAGATCAGATGCTAGAATCGCAGGTTGCTTGCTGTGAGGGAAGTTCCCATTCAAAATGAAGCAGATGATTCCAAGCCTGCTCAGTTGCCTCATTTGTTAGGCCAAAAGATCGCTTCTGTCTCTCTCTCTGTTGTGCATTTGGAATGAAATTTTCTTTTAATTCTTTGGTGTGGTTGTTCTGGAGAATTGGTTGAGAATGTAACAAATCAACTCCGAGCTTGGTGTTTGGTGTTTGGGTGTAGGCTTCATATTGGTTTTGGCAGACTTAGAGTTGTTCATGAATAGTAAGGCTAAATTACAAGGATGTATCATTTGAGTCTCTCTCTATAACACTCTCTCTCTCTCTTGAAATTCTACAGTGCTTTAGGGCAGGGATATACTGACGAATTGGTGTCTCGTGATTGTGAGCAAGTGGGACATTTAGATCAACAATCACATAAGAGATTGTTGCATGGGAGCTTGTCCAATTGAGATGCATGTGGAGTGTTTATAAACCTCTTCACGAATGCCCTATAGGATATACTTGTTCTGGAAATTGTTTATGCTTTTTGTATAGAGTTGAGGCCCTAAACCAATCAATTTAAGGCATACCTTAAAAAATTTACTAAAAGACGTCAAAATTTACCATCTCATCCTCAAGATATATAGACATGTGAAAAAATGGATTTCTAATTCTTAGTGCATTTTATAATATATTTTTTAGACCATTAATTTTTAAAATTTTCAAATGCTCATAGATATGTTCAATCTACACTTTTTCAAGCTTTAAATTTTATAATTAAAATTGAAAATAAATTTCCAGGCCATCACAAAGATTTCTAGTACCAAAACATCTTTCCACACTGTGTGAAAGTGTATCTTACTTTGATTGTTTAGGACCCTCAGCCTTAGACAAACCACATCCTTGAGTACCCTCAGCCTTGTACAAACCACATCCTTGAGTAACTGTTAGAGACAAGGTTGGATATCTAGTTCCAGTTTGCCTAATTACATAGAATTATCCTCTCCCTTTCCCCCATTAGAGAACCTCTGTCAACAAATAATCAAGCATTCTCCCTTTCCATCATTAAGGACTCTCATCCAAATAGACATACACAAGCAAATACACAGACAATCCATTAAAATTAGTAATGTATCTAAGCAATAGAAATACATGTTAGAAATCAAACACAACAGTACAGAGGCAGACAGCCTTGAACCCTCCTCAGATGAAAACTCAATATTGTTACTGTCCATAACCACCTGAAAACAACACAAACTACAACAAAAGCCTAAGGAAACAATTCGGACTTCAAAGTAAAAGACTACAAATGAATCTCCTAACAGGCCACTTATCTGCTTAATCTTCAGATTCATCAGTTTCTCCATTAGTGAGTAGGAACCCAGCAATCTAGATAAAGGCCGAAATTGCCAGATAGCAATAGTTTAACGTGAAGAGAGAGAGAGAGAGAGAGAGAGAGAGAGAGAGAGGAGGGAGGGGAGGAGAGAGACGAGTACGTACGACAACTAACCAACCTAGTAGAGAGACGACTACTTAGTGTCGTAGTTGTCGTCCTCGTCGACGTAGTAGTAGAACGTAACGTCCGGACCGT